TGGAATCCCGGTGCTGAGCATTTCCAAAGGCCTGTGGTGACTTTAATTAGTATTAGGGTTATTTTGTGGCCAGCAGGAGCAGGGAGGTCACGCTGCCCTGCACTGCCACTGCTGGGGTCACACCTCGAGTGCTGGGCCCAGCTCTGGCCCCTCAGCTCGGGAAGGACCTTGGGACACTGAGCACATCCAGAGGGGACAGCGAGGCTGGAGAGGGGCTGGGAACACCAACCCTGAGAGGAAGCCCTGAGGGAGCTGGGGGTGCTCCCCTGCAGAAAAGGAGACTCAGGGCTGCCCTCAGCACTCTGCACAGCTCTGAAAGGTGCCTGTGCTCAGCTGGGGCTGGGCTCTGTCTCCAGCAGCACTGACACAGCCACAGCACACAGTCCCGAGCTGTGCCAAGGGAAATTCAGGCTGGGTGTCAGGAAAAAGCTTTTCCAGCAAGGGGATAAAGCTCTGCCATGGCTGCCCGGGGAGGTGCTGCAGTCACCATCCCTGGGGGTGTTGAACAAGCCTGGATGTGGCACTGGGTGCCAGGCTCTGGCTGAGGGCTTGGGCTGGGCTGGACTCCACGGGCTGGAAGGACTCTCCCAACCCAGCCATTCTGGGAATTCCACACCTCTGGCCCCCAGCTGGGATAGAGCTGCTGCTCTTGCTCCTGGCTGAGGCTCTGGCACAGGGAGGCTGAGCCTGAGCTGAGCAGAACCAGGATTAAGGAGAGAGAAGGCTGGGCCCAGGATGGCCCCAGGGCAGGGACTGTCCCCTGTGCTGGCACTGCTGAGGGACCCCCTGCAATCCCGGGGACAGCTCTGGCCATTCATGAAGAGAAAGGATTGGAGCATGTGCAAGGAAAGGGAATGGAGCTGGGAAGGGTGTGGAGGGGCTGAGGGAGCTGGGAAGGGGCTGAGCCTGGAGCAAAGGAGGCTCAGGGGGGACCTTGTGGCTCTGCACAAGTCCCTGCCAGGAGGGGACAGCCGGGGGGGTCGGGCTGTGCTCCAGGGAACAGGGACAGGAGGAGAGGGAATGGCCTCAGGCTGGCCTAGGAGAGCTCGGGGGAATTTTGGGGAAAAATTCTTCCCCCAAGGGGTTGTCCATCCCTGGCACAGCTGCCCAGGGCAGTGGGGAATCCCCATCCCTGCAGGGATTTAAAATCCATGTGGATGTGGCACTTGGGGACACAGCCTGGGCTGTGCTGGAGAACAGTTGGACTCGATGACCTTTGCAACTCTGTGGTGTCCCTAGCCACTCTTGACCCCTCACCTGAGACTTCCCAGATTCCTGCAGGGTGCTGCCAGCTGTCCCCACATGGGGCCTTCTCCACATTCCAGGCAGCCGCCTCTGATGTGACACAGACACTCCTGCCACCAACACCCCAGTGGAAAATTTTGGGCAGGTTCAGCAAGAAACACAAGAAGATGATGGGGAAATGAGTACACCCAAGCCACTGGCTGCAGGGAGCTGATTTAAGGAGCTTGGATGTGCTCCCAGCAGGAATCTCAGGGTCACAGCCCTGGGAAGAAGCTGAAGGGAAAGTATCAAATAAATTCTCACCTCTGCCCCACCACCATGAAAGCTGGACCTGCAAACTGAGTTTAATGGGATTTAAGTTTTCTGCTTGCCACCTCACTTCTCTTTCTACTCAGGATCATTTGGAATTTCCTCCTCCCCACACCCGGCTGGGTCCTTTTATTGCCTGGAGCTTCCTGAGTGAATTTGTGTGGGGCTTTTACAAGAGCAGAGGGCTGCCCATAAACCTGCTTTGCATGTGGCACGGATTTGGGAGCTGATTATTTTCATAATTGAATGGTAAATCAATGTATTTAAGGCCAGTGTTTGCCATTAACACTCCTGAGTAGGAAGTGCTCCCTCTGTCAATAGCGGGGAGGTTTTACGAGGACAATAACTGCAGATTTACAGCTTCAGACCTGGGTTTTGGTGTTATTTTAATGGTCATTCAGTGTTTGCTGTTCCAGAGCCAGGAGAATTTGGGGAATATTTCACACCACAGCCAAGCAGTGTTTGAAATTCAAAATAAGATGGAATATTTGGGGAAACATCTCACCCATCTGTGTCCCGTTGATGCCTCAGCGTTTACCTTTTGTATTTTCACATTCTGTGCTGCTTTAGTGTGGGGTCTGAGCTTCATATTATGGGATGGTGAGCTCTGTGCACAGAGCAGGGAGACAAAACAATTCCTGCTCCAGCTGGGCACCAAGGACAAATGATCCAAATCTCAGCCCAGGAGCACAAACCCCGTGGGCTGCAGAGAGAAAAACAAGCAGGATGGGAGTGCAGGGGCTGAGCTGGAATTGGACACTGAACTGCAATGTGCACATGGAGCAGAGCTGATCCCAGGGAGAGACCCCGGGAGCGCTCGTGCATTTTGGGGCCATTTGGGTTCATCTTGGGGGCAGCCCTGGCTGGGCTCTGGTGCGGCCCCAGGTGCATCCATGGAGGAGATCCTTTCAATCCATCCCTGCTTTATTCTTTAGCTCCATCTAATCTCTGTTCTAGCTCAGCCTTCACAAGGCATTGTCATCAGCCCCATCTCCTGTGGGGGTGACCCAATTCCCTGCATTCACTGGCAGTCCTGGTGCAGGACAGAAGCAGGAGATGATGACCCTGCAGTTTGCAGAAGGCAAAACCCGCAGATGTGGGCTGTGAAGCAGCAGGCTTTGGCAAGGAGAACATCCTAGAGACCACAAAAGCTTGGAACAGACCCAGCAGCACGACAGGGAGCAAAACATTGCTGCCCTTAAGCAGCTCCTGCTTGGCTTTGCAGCTCTGCTGATCCAGAATTGTTCTCCTGGGTCACAGCAAGTCACAAAGCCGCCTGATGCCTAAAGAGGCTGCCTGGAACAGAGGCTAAACAGTGTTTGTGTTAGGTTACAAATGCAGGAGTGGCTGGGGGTGAGTATTCCATTGCCACCTGTTAGAGGTGGGGCAGTTATCTCTGCTCATTGGGCCACCTGCTAAAACCAGGTGGGGCAGTTCAAACCAAGAGAGAGTTAAATGAGTAAAGTAGAGATTTATTAAAGGTCGTAAGAGGATGCACCTTGGGCGGTGCAAGAGCCTGGATGGACCCAAGATGGATGGTGAGTCACAAGTTTTCACACTTTTATAAGTTTTGGTCCATTTCCATATTGGGGATCTTTGTCCAATTACAGCTCCAGGTTATCAAATCCCATCCTCCCAGATTACTCTCCTCAGTTGTTGTTTTTACTTTTTGGGCCTGAAGCTGCAGCGTTGTGCTTGGTTGTGGGGCTGGAAAAGGATTGTTCTGTCTGATTGAGCTGTGAGGAGAACTTGCTGGCACTTCATATGGAGTTCAGAGTCACACACTAATGCAGAATCTGGAAAATAGGAAAGCTGAAACTCAAGGCATCGCTCCCTAACCTCGCTCCCAGACAGGGCTCCCCCTTCCCTTGCAGGGTTTTCTGTCCTTTCTGAGCTCTCCAGCCTTTCCCTTCGCTGCCGGGGGCTGCTCAGTGGAGAAGGAATAAATCCCATTAAGCATTTTAACATTTATGGCCAGTGAGATAATAAAAGGATGCAATTTGGGGTGGCTTTATTGCACTTATCATAATGTTTCCCTGAAGCACAGAGATAAAAGTCAGCGAGCAATGTCCATAAGGAGTTTTTCTATCTCCCTCTTCATTTTTTTCTTAGCAATAACCACCTCATCCAAAGTTGGTGTCACTTTCCCAACAATGGAAATTCACTGCAGTAACCCCATCCCCAATATTAAATTGTTTTACCACACGGATAAGTTCTTTTCCCATGTTTATCTTGCAGGGATTTGCATTTGGAGACATCCCCTCCTCCTTTTCCCCTTTATTTTCTGCCTTTTCATTCTCAGTTTGCCCTGTTCTGCAATGTGGGAAAAAAAAAAAAAAAAAAAAGAAAAAAAAAAGGGGATGTTAGACCCAAAAACTCAAATATCTTCAACATCTTTGCTTCAAATTTGTATTAGGAGCAGATTACTGTCTGCAAGATACACATGATATAAAAACAAGACAACACACAAAGATATCTCAAAAGCTGTAATTTTGCTGTCCCCTGCTGTGACAGTCTCCTCTCTCATTATTTCCCAAAAATCTGGCCAAATTATATTTATTTTTTTCCCATATCAGTTCTGAAATTGTACCTTTCTCTTAAGAAAAAACAGTACTGCACCAACTATGGTTAATGGTGTGTCGTGAAAGTAAGTGTAATAACAGAAATCTAATTTATGTTTATATTTCTCTGTGTGTGTGTCTATACATATATAGATATTATATATATATATATATATATACACATATATAGATATTAAAATATATATATAAAATTAATGTTCCCAGTGCAATTGGAGGCACAAAAGCCATGACTGAAAGTCATCCCTTGAGGCAGGAGAAGAGACACAGCCATTTACTGATCCCTAACAAGAAGAAGTGTTTTCCCCTTCAATCTTTCCGCCCTGAAATCCCTCTTTTGTGCTATTTTTGGCCCTTCCCAATGGGATGGAACGACCGCAGGTTACAGGTGGGGTTCTGGGGACTGTGGTCATACAGGTGAGACATGGCACGCCTGGAAACCTTTTGATCCTCAGGGGTGTCAATGTTAATACGCAAATCGGGCTTAATGAGCGGTTGGGTTGCCTTGTGGTTGACCAAAAACTCTTTGGTCATCCTCCACACACTGAGGCAGCAGTAAAGGCTCTGTATTCTCCAGAGAGTGTTTGTGCGCCTCTTTATCTCTTTTAATTGACATATTTTAACGTTTGTAAGTTTGTTGTGCACCTCGAGGCGGGAGCGAGGCCAATGGCCGCCTCAGGGAGGCGAACTACAATTCCCATGCTGCTTCACTGCGGGCTCTGCGCTCCTATTGGTTGGCGCGAATCACCGCCCTCGGGCTCTTCCCGTCTCCATGGCAACGCGTAAACAAATGGCGGCGGCCATGCCTGAGCGGGGACAGCGCCGATAGCGGAGTCCCCTCCGTCTCCTCCTTCCTTATCACAGCTCATGGCGGGCGGCGAGGAGAACGGGAGAGAAGGGAGCCTCGGGGAGCCGCCTCCCCCTTCTGACGAGCCGCCGCAGCCCCTCGCTGAGGGGCTCCCCGAGGAGCAGCCCCGGCCCGGCCCTCCTCACGGCCAGGATGAGCGGGAGGAGAACGGCGAGGAGGAAGAGTCGGAGCGCTCGGAGGTTCAACCCAGGGCTCCCCAACTGTCTGGGGAGGGGTGTGTGCATGGGGGGGAACTGCTCTTTCCCTCCTCGCTGTGGATGTGGGGGAAAGAAGGGCGGCACCTCTCATTTCTGACTTTTTAGGGTCCCTCCCGTCCCCGTGGTGTCCCGGGTCCAGGATTGTCCCCCTCTCTCTCAGAATCAATTAGATTGGGAAAAAACACTTGGAAGGTTGTCGATTCCAACCATTGACCCAGCACTGCCAAGTGCTCCTGGCCATATAAGATTAAGGATAAATTGGCACATGTATGGCCAAATTAACCCAATTTCCTGCTGAAATTCCCAGCCCTGAGCTCCAACAAGCCCCATGGACACGTGTGAATTTTCTCTGCCTGCCCTGCTGGGCTTTAAATCCCAACACCACAAAATGTCACCTCATATTTTGCCTTGTGGAAATTATTCTGTGCTCTCCTTTGCTGTAACATTTAGGTGCTATAATGAAATTATTCTATTATTTATCTTGGTCCCTATTGGACTATGGTGTTTTGTGGCCCACAGATGGGGCAGCTGAGAGGTGTTTTAAAAGCTTTTATTCCATTTTCAGTCTCATGTGAAGGGTGAGACAATATAGATGTTAGAATTCACCCCATCATAACCAGAAGCCAGCTATTTCCTAATTACAAGACATTATAAGTGTTTATTGCTCTGTCAGCTTTAGCCACACCATGCTGTAAATGCCCTAAAGCCAATCACCTAAAATTACCCCTCGTGGGTGCCACTCCAATGCCTCTTTCACAGTTCTATTTCTCCAAAGCATCCAGTCTTATTTGCAAGGCCACCCTTTGAAACTTGTTTCCAGTTCCATTTCTCTCTCAGCAATGTCTGTGCTGTTCCAGGCCATTCCTAAGTCAGCATTTCTCATCTCAAAGTGTGCATACAGATGTGAGAAATCTGTCAGCCTTTGGGAATTCTCTACAAATCAATTTCCCACTTTTCCCCCTCTCTCTTGAACAGAAAAAAACTTCTTTGATGTCTTTGTTTATCAATTGTTGCGCACAGTGAAGCACACAAGGCACTATCACTAATATTGTCACTGTAACAATCAACGTATATAAACTTATTTTGTAAGGTTCTTTTAGTTAAGGCGTGAAACTCTATCTTTGAAGTAAGTTGTCTAATTATGATTTATTGTCTGTTTTAATTTGGTTTGTCAAATCTCGTGGTTTTTGAAGCTGTTTGTGGATGGACTCTGGTCAGACAGGTGCCCAGATCAGCAGCTGTCCTGCAGCTCCTCGGAGCTGACAGGAATTTCACAAACCAGGGGCTCATCTCCTCATTAGTGCTGGCTGTCAAGCAGCCTCTTTGGCAAAGATTTTTCCTCCGAAGAGCAACTCGTGCTGAGCAAGTGGAAAGGGCTCCCAATAATCTGCATTTTGGGGTGCAGCACCCTGTTAACATCCATCATCTGTGGGAGCTCAACAGGCTTGGGGAATGGAACCTGTGCTTCTGATGGGTTGGAAAGGCTGAGCTAGGACAGAGATTAGACAGAATTAAAGAATAAAGCAGGGATGGATGGAAAGGGTCTCCTCCATGGATGCACCTGGGGCAGCACAAGAGCCCAGCCAGGGCTGCCCCCAAGATGAACCCAAATGGTCCCAAAATGCACGAGCGCTCCCGGGGTCTCTCCCTGGGATCAGCTCTGCTCCATGTGCACATTGCAGTTCAGTGTCCAATTCCAGCTCAGCCCCTGCACTCCCATCCTGCTTGTTTTTCTCTCTGCAGCCCACGGGGTTTGTGCTCCTGGCCTGAGATTTGGATCATTTGTCCTTGGTGCCCAGCTGGAGCAGGAATTGTTTTGTCTCCCTGCTCTGTGCACAGAGCTCACCATCCCATAATATGAAGCTCAGACCCACACACTAAAGCAGCTCAGAATGTGAAAATTATAAAAGCTAAACCCTGAGGCATCACATCAGCCAGGAGGGAACAAAATTAAGAATCCCAGCAAAAAACCTGAGGAACCTTCCCAAATGGATGGAGCTGGCTTGTGGCACGTTTCTCTTTGGGGTTTTTAGGGCAGATTTCATCACTTTCCCTAATAATCATTTTTCTTAGCAGGGTGGTGAAGCATTGAAAGCAGCATTCGACTGAGGACTTTTATCAGCCCTGTTCCCCCTTGAACCCCAGCAGCCTCTGGATTTTCCCAAGTGTGGGATTTCCCCTCCTCAATCTCCCCTTAATCAATTTTCCCTTTTCCTGGTGTTTTTTAGGGTCACTTGGAGGGGGTGTTGGATGAAGACACCGCCGCTGAGGGACTCCACACCTTCGGCCGCTCAGCCCCTGGGACTGAATATGTTTATCTTCATCTGTCACTTCCAGTAAGTACAAGCAAAAAAACCATCAGTTTAAGGCCCTTTTCTGCACAAATATTTCCTTTTTTCAACAGCAAATAGCTGCAAAAAAAAAGCCTTGTTAAAAAACAAGATGTCAAGAGGCAGATTTTTGTCACACTGATAAGACTCAAAGTGGCTCCTGCTGACTGCCAGAGTGGAGAGTTGGTCTTTTTTTTTTGTTGTTTTTTTTTTTTTTTATTACATCAGCACTGAAATGTTTGATTTTAATTTTTTTTTTTTCCTTATCCAGTCCTCAAGTGTGAAAAATGTATCTTCCTACTTCAGTCAGCTGGAGGGGAAAAAAGTAGAGGAATGTGTAAATCCCCTGGAAATGCTGCATTCAGGAAGCTGAAGTGGTTTTGTCTTTTCAAAGCTCTCTGCTGTCCCTCCCATTTCCACACAGCTTCGTTTGCCTGGTTTTTCCTGACTTCAGCTCTGTTTTTGTTGTTTCAAAGTCTTTTTTTTTTTTGGCATTTTCTCTATTTCTGGCTGCTCCAACATCGCTTTTTGTAGATGTCACCTTGTCCTGCTGCAGCTGGAGGGACCTTGGGTGAGCTGAGTTATTAACCAGTTATTAAAATGATGATTAAAATCCTTTCCCTTTTCCAGGGTCGTGACTTGAGTGACATCAGCATTCTCTCTGGATACGTTCACCTGCAGAAAATGGAGCTTTCCTCCAATAAAATTAATGGTATGGAGTAAATAAACTACAAATTCCTGCCTTGTGAAGCAGTTCCAGATGAGAAATGCACTGGACCAGGGAGTTTCAGTGTCACAAAGCCTGGCTGACATTTTAATGGTGTCAAACATTGCACAGAGCCAGGCTTGATCTCCTCTAAAATCCCCCAAATATCCACGGCCCATTAAGACCAGCATGTGTTTATCAGTGGGAACATGAGCTCAAACTCTCAGTTTATTACCCAGAGATAAAATCCCAGCAGATATGTCAAGGTGAAGGTGGGGATTTGGCAGGATATTCAAGTTATGCTTGGTTTGGTTTTCCCAGCCTTGAGTTTTCCCTTGTCAGGGTTTTCCATGGGTGACAAAAGGTAAAAAAAATTACATTTTTTACATTCAGAAAGGTGCCAGATAGAGACTGGGATGAATTCCATCAGCTGGTCCTTCCCTCTCTCTCTTTTTTGTTTTAATTTAACATCAAGTGGAATAAGCTTTGCTGGGGCAACCACATCATTTCCCTCAAGTTCCTTTCGCTCGAGGAGCTGCAGTCCAAGAACAGCAGCACTTTTGTAAAGCAGCTCCTCTCCCTGCTCATTTTAATAAGAGATTTTTTTCCTGGGGAGGCCAGATATGAGCAGAGCAGGGATTTTCCATAGCAACCACTCATTTACTCCTCAGTCGTGGCCTAAATGCTTTTCTCCACTGATTGGCAGCTCAGGCCAGAGTGAGTCTGTCATTCCAGAGGTGGATATAAAAACAATATGTGAAAATATAGTACATATATAATTAATGTAGGATAATATCATATGGTATCATATGGTATGATATGGTGTAATCTAACATAACAATATAGGATAATATACTATAGGATAATATAGGATAATATGGTACAGTAGAGTATAATATAATAGAATGTAATATAATATAGTATAATATAATAAACTATAATATGGTATAGTATGGTATAATATAGTATGGTATAGTGTAATATAATACAATAATATAGTATAATATGGTATAGTATAGTATAATAGAATGTAATGTAGTATAATATAATAAAATAAACTATAATATGGCATAGTATGGTGTAATGTAATGTAATGTAATATAATGTAATATAATGTAATATAATGTAATGTAGAATAATATAATGTAATGTAGAATAATATAATGTAATGTAATATACTGTAATGTAATAATATAGGATAATGTAGTATAGGGTAATATGGTATCATATAGTATAATATAATAGAATATAATATAGTATAATATGGCATAGTATGGTATAATATAATAGAGTATGGTATAATATGATAATATAGAATAATATAGTATAGTTCAATATAGTATAGTTTAGTATAATATGGTATAATATAATGTAATATAATATGATATGATAATATAGTATAGTACAGTATAATATAGTATAGTATAATAGAATATAATATAGTATAATATGGCATAGTATGGTATAATATGATATAATATGATATGGTATAATATGATATAATATAATAATATAGGATAATATAGTATAGTATAATATGATATAATAGAATATAGTAGAGTATAATAAATATCATATAATATATATAGTGTGATATATATAATTACATATACTTATATGTAATATATAAGCTAAACCCTGTATATAATATATTTACTTATATGTAAATATATAAATATTATATATTTACATATAATTCCTTATATAAGTATATAATATATACTTCCATTACATTTACATATATGTAATATATATAATTACATATACTATATAATATATATAGTGTAAATATATATAATATATATAATGTAATATATAGTTCAATAGAATATAGTGTAATATAATATAGGGTAATATAGTGCAATATAATGTAATGTAATATAATATAGAATAATATAACATAACATAGTATAATATATATAAATATACAAATATAAATTCTTGCTTCTAGGCAAGTCAGCTGGCATGATGAAAATTAAATGTCGAGCTTGGATATTTATTCTTTGTGGTTTATAAACCTTTTTTTTTTTCCCTCTAGGTGTTAATATATCTGATTTCTGCATTTTAGGCATCACTTCCTGAACGTGCAGCTCCAAATTGACTCTTAATTGCTGCAGGATGTAATTATCACATTTTGCTGTGATGATCTTTGCATTCAGGCGCAGGATTTGACATTTTGTTTCATTTCCAGATCTTTCCTGTGTCAGTCACATGCCTTATTTAGTAGAGCTGAATGCTTCCAAAAACCAACTGACCACATATTTCAATTTTAAAGCACCTAAAAACCTCAGGGTAAGTCTGAAAAAACCAAAAAAACCCCAAACAACAGAACAACATTTTAAAGGTTTAAATTCAAAACCATTTCCTGAATCTAAGTTAGACAGATTTGAGCATAGGCAAAAGTCAATTTTTATTCCTTTTTTATTCTTCGTTCTTACCTCAATTCACATTTTCCTTTTCCATTTTCCTTTTCCAAATGTTTGAGTATTTTATTTATATTTATATGTATATTTATGTGCATTTTATTTATATTTTTGTTAATTTCTTTGTATTTTATTTATGTCTTTTATTTTCTTCCACACTGAACCCCTGCATGTGGTGGGAGGGTGGAACAAACTCTGAAGAAATAACCCCAAATTCCTCTCTTTTTTTCCTTTAGGAAGTAGATTTTTCACACAATCAAATCCCAAAAATGAAAGATTTGTCAGCATACCACTCGCTTACCAAGCTCCTGCTGGATTGTATCCTTTGGGGAATCTTGAATGGGAGAAAAATTAATTTTTTTTTTTGCCATTTCTTCAAATAAATACCAGTTTTCTTTGTGTTTTCCCCTTCATGTCAGTTTTGTCCTTAGAACTGAGATAAAATTGTAATTTTGGTGCTGAGACTGAGCTTAATTTAAGCATTGATAGTGTTAAAAGTGGGCAAATTTGAGGGATTTTCCTTCTAGAGGAACACAAAAACTCCTTTTTGTGTCATGGACAAGTGCAAAGGGGAGATGTCCCTTACAGAGGTTAATAATAATAATAATAATAATAATATTTTTTTATTATTATTGTTATTATTGATTTTAAATCCCAAATGTTAACAGTGAATCAGCCTGGAACACTTAAATAAAAAAGGAATTTGTTGTTTCATCTTGGACCCAACTAATTCTGCAGGACGAGGCTGTTTAGTGAAAATGAACAGAATTTTTAAGGATTTTTAAGAATTTAAGAATTTTTTTTTCAAAAGTTCACGGAGTTTTTGAGGGAAGCACACGGAGCAAAGGTTTTTCTGCTCCCCACTTCCACCCTCATCCCAATTTGTGGATTTTGAAACACTTCCCTGGCAGAAACCTGATAATCAGGAGCTTGTAAATTGAATTTTCAATGTTTTTTCCAAGGCTTCCCTAAAAATTCCTTCCTGTGCTTTCTGGAGCTTCACGTTGCTCTGCCGCCTTCAAAATGTTTCCTGAGGGTTCCAGAACTTTTCCTTTTTTTCTTCAGGAATTGCATCCTGAATCTCTGCTCCTTGAAAAGGAGGAGGCAGGAGGTTGGTGCAGATTTTTCTGTCTCTTGGCCAGTAATGAAATTAATCCAATGCTTGTTCCAGACAAGGAATTTACAAGGCACCTGCTTTATTTTTTAGAAATATTTCTATTAAAATAAATATTATATATATTATGAAATATACTATATATTAAAATAAATATAGAAATTTAAATATATAATTTTAATAATATATTTTTTAAAATATCTCTAAAAAAACCCCATATATAATAAATATATAAATAAATAAAAAATAAATGTTTCTTTTTTATATATTATATGTAGATTTATATTAAAATATAAATATATATTTAAATATAAAATACATAAATATAATATAGATACATAAATACATATTTTATTAATATTATTGCTAATATTTAATTATATAATATATTTATTATATAGAATACTATATAATAATATAGTACTATATTCATAAAATATTACTGAATTAATATAATTATAATTGGAATTATATTACTATATTAATGTTCTTGTTATAATCATAACATTATATTAATATTATATATAATTTAATATATTATCTCTTAAATAGTTAATATCTATTAATTATTAATATAATTCATAATATATTGCTATTAATTAGATATATTTTAATATGATCATGTACTGATATATAAATTATAAAGGAATATTAAAGTATATATATAATATTTATATATAAAAATACAATTTTGTTAATTTTTTTTTTAATTATTATTTGTGCTCTTCCCACTTTACAAAGCGTGCAGGTGACACAAATCCTGTCACAAAATTCCATAAAGGAATATTAAAGTATATATATATAATATTTATACATAAAAATATAATTGTGTTTATTTTTTTAAAATTTTTATTTATTTGTGCTCTTCCCACTTTACAAAGCGTGCAGGTGACACAAATCCTGTCACAAAATTCCATAAAGGAATATTAAAGTATGCATAAAATATAATTTTGTTAATTTTTTTTTAAATTATTATTTATTTGTGCTCTTCCCACTTTACAAAGTGTGCAGGTGACACAAATCCTGTCCCCAAATGGCACCAAACACTCTCCTTTTGCAATCCTCATTTTCCATCCCTCCAGCAAAATGAAAAAGGGGAGAATTTTTTTAAAAAAAAATCAATAAAATCAAATAATTTTTCTCGTGGGTCTGATCTGTAGGTTTTGATTTGATTTTGTGCTGCCTTGGATTTCATTTGGTTAAAATGGGATAAAAACGTTTTTATGTGCACAGGAAAATCCCCTAAAAAAGAGGAAATGCAGAATGGAGAGCAGCAAAGTCTCACACACTCCTCCCCTGGCACACAGAACAATCGTATTTTTAATCAGAGATGCAAAAATCCTCTCTGGAAACTCCTGCAGAAGCAGAAACATTTTTCTCAGTGCCAGTAACTCAACTTTCCTTACCATTTTTAAATGAATTATGATGCACGTGGTCAGGTCATTATCTCTTTTTTTTTTTGGGTATTCCTTTAGCTTTCTAAAGGGAGGAATTGTCCAAACCAGAGAGAGACACAACTTGGCCAGAAATAAATGACAATCCTTTATAGTGAGTCATAAAAAAGCTAAAATTGAATTTATGATTGTTCAGTGCTGAGCAATTTGCTGCCTCACGTTGATGCTTGTGGCTTAAATTTTAATTTTTCCTGGTTCAAACTTTTGCCTGACTCCAGTCACCAAAGAGTCCCAGCCCCGGGGCAGGGTTTTAGCTGATTTTGGGCAGGTTCCTGTCACTCCATCCATTTCAAGGAGGAATTGGAGCTGGATTTGTTGTCAGAGGTTCTTTGTTTGGGAATTTGAGGAGTCTGTTAATGCTGAAGTTTGTTAGTCAGCTCTAATTATGTGTACTGCTGGTTTTAACTGTGATGCTAATTTAAAATACTCTTTCTCCTCTCAGGACAGATGGCCAGGACACAACAGGTATAATTTAAACTGAACTAGCCCCATAAAATCACAACTTGAATAAAAACTTGAATAATTTCTGTGGGAGCAGCGGGATTTAAACCCCCTCAGGATAAATCCTTTCCCGTCCAGCTCCCCACCCCATAAACCCAATTAGTTAATTGATCACCTAATTACTGCTCAGCTTTGGTGTTCAGCTCGTTGTTTTTTCCTGAAAGCTCTGCACAGTTAACGAGATTGAAGAGATCAGGGGGCTGGAGGAGTGTCACAGCCTGACCCAGCTGGGTTTGTCACACAACAGGCTCGCTGCCATCAGGGGCCTGCAGCATTTGCCCATCAGGATCCTCAACCTGGTAAGAAAGAAATCATTCGGATGGTTTTCCTGCCTGGCTCTTATCCAGAGATCAATACCTTGATGTAAACAATAAATATAACGTAATACATATGGAGATAATAAAAATATTTTATATTATTTCATCTTTTATAGTAATATTTTATACTATATTATACCTATAATATATATTATATGTATTATGTATAATGTGCATTATATATAATATATAATAAAAATATTTTATAAATATTTAAAAATAACATCTATTATATATATTATATGTATTATGTGCATTATATATAATCTATAATATTATATGCTATTTATTATATATGATATATAATATTTATTATATATTATATAGTATATAATTATTATAATGATATATATAAAATAAATACATCAATAATTACATAACAAATTATCAGGATATCTGCAATACCACACATTTTTTAAATTAATAACACAAATGTTGCACAGCAACACAACCCAAACCTATTTTTAATGCGATCGAGTGGCCCCAAAAGCAACCCAGCTGCTTTTCAACAGCTTTGACTTTGTAATAAAAAGTGAAAAATATTTAATGGGACTTTAAAAATAAATCCCCAAAAACCTATACAGAGCTCCTATTGGCTACATTAGTTTTAAGCACCCACATAAATATTTGAAGTGAAGTGAATGAATCCCTTATCAGGAATAGAAATATTCCTTTTCCAATCCTTTTAAAAAATTTAAAGGTTTTTCTTCCATTCTGTAAAATTGGATATAGAAAATACCAGCTCAGGTTGGCCCTTGGCTGCTGCAGGATTCAGGGAAGGTGTTCACATTTCTAATATATTCAAATGGTGTTAATGAAATTATATTTCAGATCTGTGACACCTCCAGGATCTCCCTCAGTGGCAATAAATTGGGATTTGGTCTCATTTTTAGTGGGGAAGATGAATTCAGATTGGCCAAACGCCGTGGAAATGCTCTGAAAGGAGCTCTAGGACTGTGAGGATCTTTTTTCTAAATACTTTGATTTTTTTTTCTCCAAATTTGAGCCACAGAAAGTCCCTCCACTGCCCTGATTTCCTGGTTTGCTTAAAGGTCTACCAGGAATTCCCTTGGGAATCTGCTCTGTCCAAAGCTGGGAGATTGTTAACAGTTAAATCTTATTAAATGTGAACATGCTCCTCATTTGGGGTTCTTAGGTGCTGATATCACTATTGATAACACTGCTTGTCTTTTTAATTAGCCACGTGGAAATTATGGAAAGAGATTTCAGCTGAGAATTTTCTTTAAAAATTAGAATTAACTAGAATAAAATGCAATTATTATTATTATTCTTTTTATCCTCTCTCTTCCCAGCAATCCAGCTTTTTCTCTCAGCTTTTTTGGGTTGAAAAGAGCAGAAAGTTCTGAAGTTATTCTTTTCATCCTCTCTCTTCCCAGCAATCCAGCTTTTCTCCCTCAGCTTTTTAGGTTGAAAAGAGCAGAAAGTTCTGAAGTTTGGGAGGAGCACTTCAAAACCTGTAAATTCTCCCTTGCTGTACCAAAAACCCCTTTATTCCACTCATGTTTGCGAAGGAAAAAAATAAAACAAGAAGCACAGGTCTTAAGAGCCTTAGGAATTTTCTGCTTTTAAAGGATCTATCCCCAAATCCCTTTTGTTCACAGAATTTTCTGGGCACCTCTGGGCCAGCATTTTGCAATCCCAGCTCCGAGCTGTACCCGATCAACCAGAGGTCTGACGAAGGCTCCGTGCTATTAATAACCTAATTAAACATTTAAAAGTCAGCAAAAATGTCAAGGACAGACAACTGGATTAACATTAAAGTCAGCTGGCTTATTTATTTCAACAGTTCCTAAATATTTATTAATAGGAGATGAGGCTTCCAAGCTTTTAGCGCAAGGTGAGGCTGATGGAAAAATAAAATTTGCAAGGTTATGGAGGAAGAATCCTGTGGAGAGGCCAGCTGGGAATGTGTGGGACAGGGATGAGCAGGGAATTGTTATCCCTGCTTGGAATTTGGGGCAGAAATGAGTCTCAGATTTGTGAGGCCCTGAGGAATGAAACCATCTGGAGGCCAGTGAGAAATCAGGGCCTCGTTGGAAAAAACTCTGAGGGTTGGTTCTCGAAAATTTGGGGTTTTTCGTGTGGGAAAGTCTGGAAAATTTTACAGGAAAATTTGGGGTTTTTAAATTATTATTTTCTAAACATTTCTGTGCTGTCGCTGACAGTGAGTGGAGCCTTCACTTGATGTGTGTTAATATGGATTTATGTATTCCAGAGAGATTTTGGTATCTTATCAGGGAGTCATGGAACCATGGAATGGGTTGGGTGGGAAGGGACCTTCAAGGTCACCCAGTGCCACCCCTGCCATGGCAGGGACATCTCCCACTGTCCCAGGCTGCTCCAGCCCCAGTGTCCAGCCTGGCCTTGGACACTGCAGGGATGCAGGGGCAGCCCCAGCTGCTCTGGCAATTCCAGCCCAGCCAGGAATTCCTCATGGCCAAGATCCCATCCATGGCTGCCCTCTGGCACTGGGAGCCATTCCCTGTGTCCTGTCCATCCCTTGTCCCCAGTCCCTCTGCAGCTCTCCTGGAGCCCCTCCAGGCCCTGGAATGTGCTGGAAGCTCTCCCTGGACCCTTCCCTTCTCCAGGGGAACATTCCCAGCTCTCCCAGGCTGACATTGGATCCATCACCTCTCCAGGACATTCATGGTCCCAGAGGCTTCACTTGGAATCTCAGGAAACCATGAAGGGTCTCCCTTCCCTTTTCCTCTCTTTTCCATCCCCGTTTTCCATAAAAATTCCTTGGGATGGATTCTGAGTGTCCCAAATCCCAGAATCCCAGGGCAGTTTGGGTTGGAAGGGACCTCAAAGCTCATTCCAGGGACACCCAAGGTGCTCCAATCCTTCCTTGGCCATTGCAGGGATGCAGGGGCAGCCCCAGCTGCTCTGGCAATTCCAGCCCCAGTGTCCAGCCTGGCCTTGGACACTGCAGGGATGCAGGGGCAGCCCCAGCTGCTCTGGCAATTCCAGCCCAGCCAGGAATTCCTCATGGCCAAGATCCCATCCATGGCTGCCCTCTGGCACTGGGAGCCATTCCCTGTGTCCTGTCCATCCCTTGTCCCCAGTCCCTCTGCAGCTCTCCTGGAGCCCCTGCAGGCCCTGGAATGTGCTGGAAGCTCTCCCTGGATCCTTCCCTTCCCCAGGGGAACATTCCCAACCCTCTCTCCTCTCTATCCTACCTTAATTTTTTCATTATTTATTCTGTAATCACAAGTGTAAATAGAGCCATGATTACAGAGGGAAATTCAATGTATTTATGTATATATATTCCATAATTTTCCATGCATCTCTGTGTTCTAAATTTTGAGCTGGATGGTGACAAGTGTGTTCTTGGGCCAATATCAGTTTTTAAAAAATGTTAGAGCTCTTTTTATTGCTTGTTGTCTCTTCAAGGTGAGTTGGAGTTAAGCTAATCAGGAGAGAATTGATTCCTTTATTCCATGAGGAGGAATGTGACATATCAGGATGTGCATGAGGCTAATGCAGAAAGGCCTATTTGTGACAGGATTCTCCATGACAAAAACTCCTCAAATCCAACAAATAACTCCTTTTCCCCCTCAGGAACGTTGTTTTTCATAGAGGTTTATTTGCAGTTTCTCTGCTTTCATGTTTTTGTCCTAGAGCTTTAACCAGATTGAGAAGGTGAATGGGCTGAAGACCTTGAAAAATCTGCAGTGGGTGGATCTGTCCAGCAATAAAATAAACAGTCTGCAAGGCTTGGAGGAGCACGACCTACTGGAGGTGATCAACCTGGAGGATAACCAGGTACCAGCTCAGCTTCTTCTAAGAGCACAGAATATTTTCATTTTTTAACACTCAATTCCTTGAAGGGCTCCAAAAATCCTCCAGCAGTGCCAGGAATGAATATTAGAAAAGCTGAGATCTTTTCTTTTGGTGTTTCCCACGTCGATTCCTGGTGTCCTCTCAGCCCTTATTTAATTTCTGAGGTGGCTTTCTCTTCACTCAAGTCCCACTTCAGTGCTCTCACACACTGGGAATTTGCACTGCTCCCCTGGGTGGGTCAGGCAGGGATGAGTTTGCAGATTTTCCACCTCGATTATTCCAGATCTTTACTTACACCACAGCTCTGCTGCTGCCAGGCCTCAGGAGGGGTTGTTAAAATCTCTCAGCCCAATTTTATGACCACAGATTCCTCTGAGCTCTCAGCTGGAAACTCCCTGCAAAGCAGAACTGCAAGGACTCACTTAAAAGTGGATTTTGTTATGCAGCATAATTTTCTGTACTGGAAATAACAATGGCACCATCCAACTCTTTTGAATTTTGAATGCCAAGCCAAATATCCACAATAATTTTGATATTGATCTTCCAGCATCCTTAACTGAAAAAAAAAAAATCAATTCGTGAATCACTTTGACATCAAAGTTATGTGAAAAAAAAATATCATCTGAGAAAACAAAAATATAAAGCAGCAGTGGAACATTTTCTGTCATTTTTCTCTCTCCTTGTGAGTGGATTTAATTCAAGTCACTGTGCATTCTTTTCCTGCCTGTGTTCAGGTTGACATTTAAAGGTGCCTCAATTGCAGCAGACAGGAAACTCTCTAATGGTGTGCTTGTTATTAACATTAATAACACCACTTCCAGTGCCTTATTTATTTTCCACTGTTCTTTGCAGCACATAAAAACTTAATTTTACCTCATCAAAACTTGCCTCTTTGAATGATGTCATTGATACTGTTCAATGAGTTTTTTGCTTTTTTTTTTTTTTGAACGTTGCCTTCTGAAGAATAATTTAAAGGGGAGTTTTAATTAATTAACACGTGGAGTTACTTCAGCTCACGGCCACTCAGAATGATCTTAAATTCTTGGTTTTTTAAAAAATGCCCACAACAGGTTCAGCTGCAAACGTGTCCCTTGTAAACATTCAGTGATTTCCAATTGTTGATGGCTGGAATTCTGGGATTTGTTTAAGAAATCGACTCAAATCACATTTAACTTCACCAAAACTGACTTGGGTCGGGTTATTCTTATCTCAAAGTGAGTTTGGAGCAGGCTGTGGTTGAGGTTTATGTTTTTAGGCACTTTAAAAGGATTGAGTATGAATTAGGGAGAATCTGGAGGTTTTTAGGTTCAGTTGGGCTTTCAGGATTTAAAAGGGGCTATGAAAGAGATGGAGAGAAGATTTTTCCATGGAAAAACACAGACAGGAGAAAAGGGAATGGTTCTACAATAAAAAAGGAGAGATTTAGATTGGATTTGGGGGTGGAATTCCTGGCTGGGCTGGAATTCCCTGAGCAGCTGGGGCTGCTCCTGGATCCCTGGAATGTCCCAGGCCAGGCTGGACACTGGGACAGTGGGAGATGCCCCTTCCCGTGGCACTGGATGGGTTTCAAACTTTGTAGGTCCTTCCAACCCAACCCATTCCACTCTCTGATTCCATCTTTCAGCAGAAAACCAGGTTGGTTTGGGCCACACAAACCTTGATTGACCCCAAAAACTGAGTGCCCAGCATTCCCTTGTTCACAGCTGAGACCCCAAATAGGCTAGACCCTCTTGACCCCCTGATTTATCCCTCTGGACACATCCAAGGACAAAAATCCTGCTCCTTTTTTAACCAAGTTCTGTAGGATGAACTTGAACTTCAGCGAAAAGAAACTCTCAGAAGGATTTTATTCTTTTTAAACCACCCAGCCAGAGCACGAATTTAACTGCAGAATTGCCTCACTCCAGCACATCAGCACATAAAAAGCCAAAAGTGCTAGGGCTTGACATTTGAAAGAACTGGAAAAATGCAGGTGCTTGGAAATTGCTGTGTGGATTATCCTGCTGCTCCAGCTAACAGCCAAGTCTCCTTTTGTGCCTGGAAGTGCCTCATTGAGGGCAGTTAACATGTAAACTCCTTCTGTAATTTAGAATTATTTTTTTAATATGCCCAGATTTGAAGAGCAGCCATTAAAATACTTCATTTTGCCTGCCTAGTTCTCTTGGATTCTGTTGCTGCTGATTTATGCTCTGTTTCTGTCCCTGCTCAGGTGGCTGAGCTGAGTGAGCTTAAATGGATTGAAGATCTGCCTCTCCTCAGGGCTTTAAATCTTCTAAAAAACCCTCTACAGGTAAGAGAGAAGCAAAAATGAGACCCTAAACCTGTTGGTTTGAATCCTTTCAGCCTCAGTTTCTGTCTCTAGAAGTGGGCAGGTCATTTGTCCTGAGTGACCAAAGACAATTCTATCCCAACCCTTGTGATTTCTAAATTTTGTGTGAATTTTACAGTCATTCCCAATGCCAGAAAGACTAAAAATATTAAAGAGTTTAATTTTTTCCTTGTAATTGCCAGGATTTTATTGGCTTTTATAAGACTGGTCTGTCGTGGCACACAATAAAATTAGCAGGAAAAAGTACCTGAAACAGCCTGTTCCTGATTTTCCATAATCTGAAAGGTTTTTCCTGCTGAGATGTCCTTCTCCTAAACAAAGTCTGATCAAATCCCTTTCCATTTTTAAATTCCCATCTTGGCCTTTTGAATGTTGTGGTTACAAACTTTTGAACAACTCAGCTCTTGCTGCAGTTGTGAAGGGTCACTTTGGGCAGTGTCCTGACACCCTTCAGGGTAAAAAACCTTTTATTTTGCAATGTATTAAGGCAAATTTAATTTTAGCTGATTGGAATTCAATATTGGTTGGATGAAATTAAGTGTTTTTTTGTCAAAATGGAAACTTTTTCCCCTCAGGAAAAAGATGGTTATTGGCTCTCAGCGATTTTCATGTTGCTCCAAGTCACGGATCTGGATCTCAAGAAGGTTTCAGTGGAAGAAAAGGTAAGCAAACATCATTTCATTCTGGAAGTTTTCTAAATAAACAATACAAAATCCAGGCTTGCAGTTGCAGCAAACCTCCTCCCCCAAAATCCTGCTTGACAAAAATTCTGTTGGATTGGAAACCTTTCCCTGCTGTGGTGCCTGAGCTGGAATTTGGTTGCTGCATGGGCTGTTTATAAACGTAAAATGTGCCCCAAAGAGAAATTTCCATGTTTTACTGGAAGGAGGAGATGATTCCATGAAAAGCATGGAAGGGAGAGGCAGGTGAATGCTCTTTTTCCAGTCTCACCATTCCCAGGTGACTTCTCCCAGTCTCGTTTCTCCTCTGAAAAATGGAATTTTTGCTGCTCTGCAGCTGTGTTGTGATATTTGAGGAATTCTTGGAAAATTTTTCCACATAATCTGATGTAATACACTATAAATATATGTGGATTATTATTATGATTGCTGTTGTTATTATATTGGCTGCAGCAAACACTGAGATCAACCTTTGTGCTCTGTACTCCATTTTGGTGCTGAATTAATTCACAACTGAGTAACCTGATGGAGAAATTCCAGGATTTAGTAACTCAGAAATTTGTATTTTTATTGTGACTCTGTTTTCTGGGATCATCCACAACAAACAGGAGCCTTCCCAGTGGGCCCAAGCCATGCTGGAACTGCTGTAATTCAGGGAATTATCCTTTCAAAGCAATCCCTTCAGGAAATCCATCACTCCCAGCTTTATCTGTATAAATTTGGGGGTTCTTGTGCCAGGCTCTCTCCATCCTGAACACACAGATGATGATACCAGAGTATAATTTTCCCCAACTACCCAAAATGTTGATCTCAATCTTTGTCTTATGTGCCATTCTGTTTTCCTCTCAATATAATTTTGAATATATCAATGAAATTTTTCCCTTCAATGGACTGTAAAAATAAACCTGAGTGACTGGTTTAGACCAGCAATTAATTTATGAGGGGTAAAAGTTGTTCCACAAAATCCTCTCCTTATGTTATTTTAGGATGCCTCCTAAAAGAATTCTCTTGGCAAACTGAATTTGGAGGCAGCATCTCTGTGTCTCACTAACACAAAATGGATGTACAGGAACGTGGGTTAGATCAGGAGAGGAGCTTGGAATTGGAATTCCTGCTTGTCCAACTCACCATGTTTGGGTCTCACTGTGGAATAGTCTTGCAATATTAATAATATTAATAATAATCCTTCCTTTAGGATACTCTGATGTGCACCAGGATGCACCCACTGTGCTCCCAGCCACTAATTCAGAGCAAAGGGCCAAATTACAGCTTAAATTAAATTGGATTTTAATTTTAATTTTAATTTTTTTATTTTATTTATTTTTAAATTTTTTTCCCTCCTCCTGCTTTCCCCTGAACATGGGGATGTGGAGTTCTGAGCACTGAATATTTTCCCTCCTATTTCCCCCTGCTGCTGGCTGATTAATACAGGCACGGCTGCCACACAGCCATGGCATTCCAGGCTGGAAATGGATTGTCCAGGCATGGATTGTCTGGCCCAGCCTTGCTTGGGAAAAGCACAGGCAATCCCAAATGGCCCAGCCAAATCCTAAAAGTGACCTGCATTGGTGAATCCACCAACTGGTGAATTCACCAATTATTTCCCTGGGGAAATTCTCATGGAATCCAGGACGTTTTTTGTTGGAAGGGACCTCAAAGCCCAGTCCCACCCCTGCCATGGCAGGGACACCTGCCACCATCCCAGATTGTCCCAACCTCCTCTTGATTATTCCAAAGGCTGATTGGCCTCACTGTGGAAATTTTGTCCTGTGTCCCATTGGAATTGCCTCGGTCGTTCTTAGCCCATTTCTGAGTGTGTGGCCTTAATAACCCCCAAAATACACAACTCATGAGTGGTCAGCAGGATGGATGGAGGGAATCCTTGGAGTCTGAGTGCTCTCCCTCCCTCAGGAAAGACGGGAACGCATTGTCAGGAGTTTGCTGAATTTGTTAATGCCCACCCTGTAACAAACGAGTGGCTTCAGTCCCCAGGGGTTTGGCCCCTTCCACCAGCACTGAGAGGATGCAAATTAATGGATAATTAAAACCTGCTTTTGCATCCTATGTGGCATCCTGTTTTCTTCAGGGAAGGGTTGTCTACATTAAAGATGGTGAGATGTGTCTGGCTGCCATCCATCCATCCATCCATCCATCCATCCATCCATCCATCCATCCATCCATCCCCAGATTTCTGCTCCCAGCCAAGCCCAGCACCAAGCCTGACCCTCAGCAGCACAAAGCCATCCTTATTCCTGGTGATCAGCCAAGAGTTTTGCACCTGGGAACAATTGCATCACTCCTCCCCTTCCTTTCCCCTCCCCTCTAAATTTTGGGAGCAGGTGGCTGCCGTGAATAAAGAGGACCCTCCTCCAGAAGTCATGGCTGCTGAAGATCACAGGATTCAGATTTTGTACAATGCTCAGCAGCCCCAGGAAGTCCTGCCCAGGTGAGTTCATTCATTTCACAGCCGCTCCTGACGGTGGCACTCAAGTAAAGCAGAATTTTGTCACGTTCAGAGGGACATTTTTCCCGAGGAGAACTCCTGCAGGATTCTGTCAGCAGGCCTGGAAAGGAGGCAAATCTGATTTGGTTCAAATTGACGATGAAACGAAGCTCTTCATTCACCTCTAAAGTCTGAGACAGATTGTCCACAGCTCCACTCCCTCTCCTCAATCTGTTGGAGCAGATGGGCATTTGCACCACAAATGAGAGATGCAAAATTCCTCCCTGTGTCCAAAAGAACTGGAAAAAACCCTGGAGGCAGCAGAGAGCTGCAAAACTTCTCCTTCCCCTTCTGCCGGTGATTCTCTCCCCACTGCTGGCATCCTGTTGGGATAAAATGAATTTATCTGGAGATTTTGGGGCACCTTTTGTGTTCATAAGGGGAAATTTCCATGTTTTACTGGAAGGAGGAGATGATTCCATGAAAAGCATGGAAGGGAGAGGCAGGTGAATGCTCTTTTTCCAGTCTCACCATTCCCAGGTGACTTCTCCCAGTCTCGTTTCTCCTCTGAAAAATGGAATTTTTGCTGCTCTGCAGCTGTGTTGTGATATTTGAGGAATTCTTGGAAAATTCTTGCACATGATCTGGTAGAAAACGCTATAAATAAATGTGGATTATTATTTTGGACAGTGAGGTCAACCTTTGTACCCCACACCCCGTTTTGGTGCTGAATGAATTCATAACTGAGTAACCTGATGGAAAAAATCCAGGATTTAATAAGTCAGAAATTTGTATTTTTATTGTGACTCTGTTTTCTGGGATCATCCACAACAAACAGGAGCCTTCCCAGTAGTGACAACAGCTTTGAGAATTCTTTTAAAAGCAAAACCCCAAAGATTTATTTATTTTTGCAGGGATGGAGATTTCTTAAAATAAACCCACAAAATTGGCTTATTTTCCTTCTTAAAAAAAAAAAACCCTCAAGGCACAGATTTTTTTTTTTCCCAGGGCTGTATTTAAATATTTGCTTAGTGGATTTTGGATTGATGGAAAGAAGGAATTTTGCCTTCTGCCAGAGGAATTGTGCACACAAAAACATCAGCCCAGCCCCAAAAATTGTTAATGATGCCTGGAAGGTTGGCTCGTGCTCAGCTGGAGAGCACCCCAGAGTCATTAATGAAATCTTCCTAATGATTATTGCCCTTTCCACCCTAAAATGCTTTTTGGAACCAGATCGGGGGAGTTCGTTTGCATCTCTCTTTCTCCATCAAGTTATAATTAATTCTGGGTTAGTGATATCTTCATTATTGCAAATCAAACCTGAAAACAAAGCAAAAAGTTTTTATTCTTGCCTGTCCTGCCGGCACCAAACATTGAATTTCCTAATCTTTTCTTCATGCTCTCAATTTGTGATTTAATCTGTAATTATGTGGTAACACACCAGTGAATATTATGGGTATTTTCCCCTTCTAGAAATGCAGGTGACATTTGAAAATGTTGCTCAGAGTGACAACAGAATTTAATTTAATTTCCAGTCTGTTGGGCCAGGACAGGATGATTTTTGGTACCTGGCTGTTGATAAGGAACCCATTCAGAAAAGGACCAGAGCATGATTCTTTCTGACAATTAAAATAATTAATCATTGGAGCAATTTACCAAGAGTTCTCCACAACTAGAAGGTTTTTAATTCAAATATGATCTCATGGAAACCCAAGTATTGGGCTGGAAACAGGAATCAACTTGGGGAATTCCAAGTGGAATGAGGAGAGGATGATGCTTCAGATGATCAAAATAATCCATTTTGCCTTAAATTTTATTAATCTTTCACAGCAGTGCCCACAAAAAAATTTGAATTATGAGCCCAAAACTCTTTTCCAGAATCTTCTCCCAACCTGTAGAAACCCCCAACACTTTTGGTGTTGAGAATCAAGAAGTGGTGATGTGGTGAAAGAGAGGATGTTGGAAATGTTCTCCACGTTCTCCCGATGAAATCATAAATCCCAGGAGTCTGAGAACGTGGGGAACTGGGAATTTATTGAAGAGAATGTGAATTTGGAGCATGATCTCATCGAGGTATGATTTATTTGGTGTAACATTTCCTCGTAGAAGGAAAGATTCCAGAGGAATTCTGCATTTTCCAAGCCTGAAACGGGAACCAACTTGGGGAATTCCAAGTGAGATGATGATTTAGATCATCAAAATAATCTATTTTGCCTTAAAATTGATTAATTTTTCACAGCAGTGCCCACAAACACAAAGAAATTTGAATTATGAGCCCAAAGCTATTCCAGAATCTTCTTCCAAGCTGAAGGAATCCCAAACTTTCAATGTTGAGAATCAAGGAGTTCTCAATGTGATAAGACATGATGATGGAAATGTTCTCCTGATGAAATCATAAATTCCAGGAGTCTGAGAACGTGGGGAACTGGGAATTTATTGAAGAGAATTTGAATTTTGAGCGTGATCTCATCAAGGCATGATTTATTTGGTGTAACATTTCCTCGTAGAAGGAAAGATTCCAGAGGAATTCTGCATTTTCCAAGCCTGAAACAGGAACCAACTTGGGGAATTCCAAGTGGGATGATGATTTAGATCATCAAAATAATCTACTTTGCCTTAAAATTGATTAATTTTTCACAGCAGTGCCCACAAACACAAAGAAATTTGAATAATGAGCCCAAAACTCTTTTCCAGAATCTTCTTCCAAGCAGTCCGAACCCCCAAATTTTAGATTCCAGAGGAATTCTGCATTTTCCAAGCCTGGAACAGATCCGGTGCAGGGAGAAGGGAAAAAAAAAATCTTTATTTTAAGGACTGGGGAGGTCCTGTCACAGGATTCCCAAAAAATTCCCCATCCCTGGAAGTGTCCAAGGCCAGGCTGGATGGAGCTTGGAGCAACCTTGGAATAGTGGAAAATGTTGGGAAGGTTTGGGATGAGATGGAATTTAAATTCCCATCCAACCCACCCCGTTCCAGGATTTTATGTGGAAAATAAAAGTTCTGTTTTCCCAGCCCTGCCTTGCCAGGAATATCCACAAAAAGAAATAACTTGAGATAGAATAAAAAAAAAACCTTTCTGCAACATCCTGATCAATTTTGGACCCTTCACTTCAGCTTTTTTCTCACTTTTGAAATGATTTTTTTAGAATGGATTTTTAAAGTGCATTTTTACCTTCTGCAGGATTTTAATGTATTGTGCCTTTTTGCAACATCCTTATCAATTTTGGACCCTTACTCACTTCAGCTTTTTTCTCACTTTTGAAATGATTTTTTTAGAATGGATTTTTAAAGTGCATTTTTACCTTCTGCAGGATTTTAATGTATTGTGCTAATCAGCTTTTTGTGCTAATTATATCCATGGACTCTGGTAGGGAACAGAGCTGCTGTGCTGCTCCTAAAATAGGAATAAAGCCATGATTTTGGAATTTTTTTCCTCCTTCCTTGTATTGGAATGTTGTCCTTATTTCTTAAAGAATGAGTTCTTTGTGAGAGGGATGCTCAAATAAATATATTCTCCTTTATAAATATATTATAAAATATAAATGCAGTCTAAATAGTCTATAAAATTATATATAATCTAGAAATATATGTATAGTATATTAGAAATATATTCTCTTTTCAGGTGTCTTTGTTCACCTGTTTCAAATCCCATTCAACGAACACAGAAGAAGTTTCCTTTCACTTCAAATTCAGTTTAAACTACTTATTAATTAAAAATCATTGGGTTATAATCATATTGGTTATTCCTGCCATATTTCCAAGTGGCCCAATCTTAAAATCTACCTGAGATTTAAAAATGAATTTAAAAAAAATTAATTTAAAATTCTGGTTTTACTTCATTCTTCCACTTGCAGCTGGAAGTGGAAAATCCGAGGATTTAATCCAACATTAATCCAACGTTTAATCCAAGGATTAAATCCAAGGATTTAATCCAACGTGGAAAAATGGAGAAATTCATACTTTTGCAGCACTTTGGGTCCTTTTTTTGTGGTTTTATTTTGTTCAGTGAAGTTTTAAGGATCTGAGTGGGTTTTTTATATTTAATTGAAGAATTTTTACACCTTCACCTGGCACAGGACATGGAAGTCAACGAAGTCCTGCAGGAGAGTGGAAAAACCTGTAGGATTCAGTTTATTCCAGATTTATTCCAGTTATCCTGCTCATTAAAATATTCCCACCTCTGGAAAAAAAAACCAAAAAATCCCAGCTCTTTAGAAAAGGCTGCAAATCAGAGTAAAAATAACATTATTCCTTTTGAAAAAGAGCCTTTAATGCAGATTTTTGTGCTATTTTTACATTCAGAACGCCCCAATTTTTGTCTACGCTGTGAACAAGGTGAGGTGAGTTGAAGGGATGATAAAATCTCTGCAGAGCTGTCTAAAAAGCTGCTGAAATTTGATTTTTAAGGTGATTTAATGTCCTTTCTTGCAGCACTCTGCCTGATTCTGAGCAGCCCTACCCCATGCTGGTGTTACTGGGCCCTGTGGCCGGTGGCAGGAGGCAACTTTCTCTCAAAATCTGCAGAAAATTCAAGAATTTCTTCAGATTTGGGTAAGTTCTGCACCCTGAGTTTAAAAAAATACCAAAGGATCAAGGTTGGAATTGTTGCTGGTTTGGTTTGTGGGGTTTTTTTTTGGTTAAGAAGTTAAAAACAGAGAATTTTGCTGTGTTTTTGTCTCTTCTCAAGGCTTGACTGGCTGAAAAGTTAATGAAAGTTATTTAAATTATCAGATTATTTTAAAGGTGGACGGCAAATAAACAGAAAATAAAATAAGCAAAGGAAAACACAAACCAAAACACAAAACAAACAAGCTAAACAAAACAAATGAAAACCACAAACCAAAACCAATTATCAGATTATTTTAAAGGTGGACAGCAAATAAACAGAAAATAAAATAAACAAGCAAAGGAAAACACAAACCAAGACACAAAACAAACAAGCTAAACAAAACAAATGAAAACCACAAACCAAAACAGCAAACAAAAAATCAGTAAGCTAAAACAAATATAAAAACCAGAAACCAAAACAGAAAAGAAACCAACCAACCTAAAAAAGGCAAAAAAAACCCCCACAGACCAAAATAGAAAAAAATAAAAAAAAAAAAACTAAAAAACCCAAAAAAACCCACAAGCAAAACCAAAAAAAACCACAAACCAAAGCAAAAAAGACACCAAAACCCAAACCCCCAAAAATCCAAACAAAAAAACCCAAAATCAAGCAAACAAAAAACTCAAGAAGAACCAAAAAAAAAACCACAAAAACCCCTTAAAAACCTCCAAAAAAACCCAAACAAATAAAAGCAAACAAAAAAGCCAAGAAGAACAAAAAAAACCCCACAAAAACCCCTTAAAAACCTCTAAAAAAACCCAAACAAATAAAATAAAAACAAACATAAAAAGAAATAAACCAAATAAAAAATAAAAAAGAAATTACAACCCAAAAAACCTGCTCTGCATCCCCTTATTCCCCATTTTTTATGGCAGTAATTTATGCATTAATTTTCTTTTTAAAGGGAAAAATCTATTATGCCACTGTAAAAGTTCCTTTTTCCCCGTTATTTAAACCCATATTTTAGAAATGACAAATTCAATTCCATTTGAAATTTTCCAAACATTCTGTGAGGGTATTTTTGTGTTGTTTTTTTAAATAAAGGGCATTTTTACATTGTGTTTTATTCCCTAAAAAAAACCCAAAATCAAGCAAACAAAAAACTCCAAGAGAACCAAAAAAAAAACCACAAAAACCCCTTAAAAACCTCCAAAAAAACCCAAACAAATAAAATAAAAACAAACATAAAAAGAAATAAACCAAATAAAAAATAAAAAAGAAATTACAACCCAAAAAACCTGCTCTGCATCCCCTTATTCCCCATTTTTTATGGCAGTAATTTATGCATTAATTTTCTTTTTTAAGGGAAAAATCTATTATGCCACTGTAAAAGTTCCTTTTTTTCCTGTTATTTAAACCCATATTTTAGAAATGACAAATTCAATTCCATTTGAAATTTTCCAAACATTCTGTGAGGGTATTTTTGTGTTGTTTTTTTAAATAAAGGGCATTTTTACATTGTGTTTTATTCCCTACAACTTCCATGAATGAGGAGAAAATTTAAAAAAAAAAAAAGGAATAGACAGAACCTTAACAGAGCAGAAAATTGCAACCATAAAGCAAAGTTGTATTTTTAATTATTCAGGGGAGATTTGAGCAGTTTTCTGCCTGGAAATTTCAAACATTCTGCTCATTAAAAATGGATTTTATGCAAGATATTCTGGCAGGCTGAATGTAAACAATTAAAAAGGGCTGAAATGTGTAAAAATCGCAGGAAATCGAGTGAAATTGGCCCCTCCAACCATCTGGCTGGTGACCTTTGGAGCTGGGTGTGTTTTGTGTTACCCCAGAAAAAATCAGGGAATTTTACAGAGCCCATGTGGAATTGGCTGCTCTCATTTTTTGTGGGGGAAAAAAGTGCCACCCTCTGATGCTGACATTGAATTTTTACTGGTTTCAAGCTCAGCCCCCTGGGATAAATGAGGAGAAAAATCTGATTTTCAAACAGAACCAGACCCACTGAATACTTCAGGCTCAAATTGTTACCTGCATTAATTAACTGGGGTTTTTTGGGGGTTTTTTTAGGGATTTTTGGGGGTTTTTTTAGTGGTTTTTAGTGTTCCATCCTGGTATCTGAGGTTTATCCTCATGGGATGGAAGGGAATTCCTTTCCCTGCCTTTTTTCCCACTTTAATGGCAAAGCAGAAATTAGAAGAAAAATCTGATTTTCAAACAGACCCAGACCCACTGAATACTTCAGGCTCAGATTGTTACCTGCATTAAATAGCTGGGATTTTGGGTTTGGTGGTGGGGGGTTTTTTTTAGGGATTTTTTTGGGTTTTTTAGTGGTTTTTAGTGTTCCATCCTGGTATCTGAGGTTTGTTCTTATGGGATGGAAGGGAATTCCTTTCTCTGCCATTTATGCCACTTTAATGGCAAAGCAGAAACGAGGAGGAAAATCTGATTTTCAATAAGAACCAGAGCCCGTGAATATTTCAGGTTCAAATTGTTACCTGCATTAAATAGCTGGGATTTTGGGTTTGGTGGTGGGGGGTTTTTTTTAGGGATTTTTTTGGGTTTTTTAGTGGTTTTTAGTGTTCCATCCTGGTATCTGAGGTTTGTCCTTATGGAATGGCAGGGAATTCCTTTCTCTGCCTTTTTTCCCACTTTAATGGCAAAGCAGAAACAAGGAGGAAAATCTGATTTTCAATAAGAACCAGAGCCCGTGAATATTTCAGGTTCAAATTGTTACCTGCATTAATTAACTGGGTGATTTTGAGGGGTTTTTTTAGGGATTTTTTGGGGGGGTTTTAGTGGGTTTTTAGTGTTCCATCCTGGTATCTGAGGTTTATCCTCATGGGATGGAAGGGAACTCCTTTCCCTGCCTTTTTTCCCACTTTAATGGCAAAGCAGAAACAAGGAGAAAAATCTGATTTTCTATAAGAACAAGAGCCCATGAATATTTCAGCCTCTAATTGTTACCTGCATTAATTAACTGGGGGATTTTGAGGGGTTTTTTTAGGGATTTTTTGGGGATTTTTAGTGGTTTTTTCATGTTTCACCATGGTGGTTGAGGTTTATTCTTATGGGATGGAAGGGAATTCCTTTCCCTGCCTTTTTTCCCACTTTAATGGCAAAGCAGAAACGAGGAGAAAAATCTGATTTTCAAACAGAACAAGAGCCTGTGAATATTTCAGCCTCTAATTGTTACCTGCATTAATTAACTGAGGGGTTTTTGTGGGATTTTTGGTTGGGTTTTTTAGGGATTTTTTGGGGTTTTTTAGTGTTTCATCCTGGTGGCTGAGGTTTGTCCTTATGGGATGGAAGGGAATTCCTGGCAAAGCAGAAATGAGGAGGAAAATCTGATTTTCAAACAGACCTGAACCAACTGAATACTTCAGGCTCAGATTGTCACCTTCATTAATTAACTGAGGGTTTTTTGTGGGATTTTTGGTTGGGTTTTTTAGGGATTTTTTGGGTTTTTTTAGTGTTTCACCATGGTGGCTGAGGTTTATCCTTCTGGGATGGCAGGGAATTCCTTTCCCAGCCTTTTTTTCCCTCTTTAGTGGCAATGAGGAGAAAAATCTGCTTTTCAAACAGAACCAGAGCCCATGAATATTTCAGGCTCTAGTTGTTACCTGCATTAATTATCTGGGTTTTGGGTGTTTTTGATGGGTTTTTAGTGTTTTATCCTGGTGGGAAGCTCAGGTAGCTGAGGTTTATCCCTACATCCCTTTTTTCCCACCTCAAAGACAAAGCAGAAAAAAGGGGAAAAAAAAATCTGATTTTTAAACAGAACCAGACTAAGCGAATTCTTCAGTATTAAATTGCTACCTGCATTAATTAGCTGAGTTTGGGCGTGGCATTTTGGTGGCTTTTTAGTGTTTTATCCTGGTGTGAAGCCAAGGTAGCTGAATTTTTACTTTCCCTGCCTTTTATCCCACTTTTTTCCCCACTTTCAGGATTGTCTCTCCCCTTCCCATTAGGCATCTGTTTAAAAATTGGACTTTTTGAGGTAGCTGAGGTTTTATTTCCCTGCCTTTTATCCACTTTTTTCCCCACTTTCAGGATTGTCTCTCCCCTTCCCATTAGGCATCTGTTTAAAAATTGGACTTTTTGAGCTCTTTCTTAACCTCACAGTTCAGCCCAGCTCCTTTTCCACATTCAGGATTTGACTTTATATCATCCCCAAGCTGACAAAATTGGGAAAGAAAAAAAAAAAAAAGGGTTCATCATTTCTCAGTGCCAGCCTGGGCTGGGGAGGGATTTACAGCCAAAACACCACGTTACATTTAACTTTTTTTGGTGTATTTACAGGTTCATCTTTCAAACACGCAGCGTTTAGGGGTGTGATTTGCACCTCTTTCTATTTCTCGTATTTCTTTGCTGCTTAAATGGGTTCATCTTTCAAACACGCAGCATTTAGGGTGTGATTTGCACCTCTTTCTATTTCTCGTATTTCTTTGCTGCTTAAAAATAAAATTATTTCTAGTTTCCCAGCTTTGCACCCCCCATCTCCCACTGCTACTCCAGAGCTGCTGCAGGGATTGTAAACCAGGTTATTTCTTTATTATCCCATCAATCTTCCAGGCCCTGCCACACCACCAGGGAAGCTTATTTTGGGGAAGAAAACAGATTCGATTATTATTTCATTTCTCAAGAGGAATTTGACACAATGGTGAAAGCTGTAAGTACCTGACTCCTGTCCTTGTAGCTTTTTCCTGCTCCCACAGTGAACTCCACTTCTCTGGCCAAACCTGATTTATTTTATTTTTTCTATTAGGTTCATGCCTGGGTGTGAATGTTTATTCACTCTCAGTTGTGTTTTGAAGTTTCACAGGCAGAAAGCACAAATTTCTTGTAGATTTGTGCTGTCTTCTCTCCCATAAATGAAATTATAGAAACCACTGGATGGGCAAAATGGCCAGTGGGGAATATTTAAATAATAGTATAACATAGAAATAAACTTATTTTCAGGCACAAATACAGCTTGGGGTTTATTGGTTTTATTTTTTCAGCATTTTCCAGCAACCCTGCAGGCAATTCCTTGGAAGTTTAGCAAATCCCTTTTAAAGGAGCGAGGTTCCTCTGGAGGATTTCTGCCTCCAGCTGCTCTTTTTGATGCCTTTTGCAACAAAACTTTGCCTTGAAAAGCCACAACAGAGCCCATTATTTGTATTTATACCAAATGAGCCTGGAACAGCTGAGCTGGCCCTTCATGGTAACAATAATCAAGGAGTTTAATTAAAAAACCATCAAATCATCTGCTTCCATCTCTCCAGGAATGCAGAACTTTGAAATGCCTCAGCCAATTCCACGTTCCCCTTGCAGATGTGTTGAACATTTTTTTTTTTTCCTTGGAATCTCCCATTTTTTATATCAATCCACCAGAAGGGAGCCCCTTGCTTTAGGTTTTCCTTTCCAGTGGGAAGGGATGACCCAGGAATGCTGTCAGCAGTTTGTTCCCAGGTTTCTGGGATTTGGTTATCCATGGACAGGGCACAAGGCCAGATATGGGGGCTCTCTCCTTAATGCTGATTTTGGGCTCTCATTAATGCTGATTTTGGGCTCTCAGTGCCCTCATTAATGCTGATTTTGGGTTTTCAGTGCCCTCATTTACACTGATTTTGTGCTCTCTCATTAACACTAATTTTGGGCTCTCAGTTCCTTCATTAATGCTGATTTTGGGCTCTCTCCTTAATGCTGATTTTGGGCTCTCAGTGCCCTCCTTAATGCTGATTTTGGGCTTTCAGTGCCCTCATTAATGCTGATTTTGGGCTCTCTGATTTACACTGATTTTGGGCTCGCAGTGCCCTCATTAATGCTTATTTTGGGCTCTCTGATTATCACTGATTTTGGGCTCTCAGTGCCCCCATTAATGCTGATTTTGGCAAAAATCTGATTTTCAATGGAGTAAAAGAGCAGAGAGAAAAAGAAATGTAGGAGAGTGCAGTGCTAACACAAGAATCTGAGCTAAACATTCTGGTTTTAAATTTCATAAATTACATTATGATTATTTTGTTTGGGAAAATGAACAAAAATCTGATTTTCAGTTGTGTAAAACAGCAGAGAGAAAAAGAAATTAGGAGAGTGCAATGCTAACACAAGAGCCTGAGCTGAGCATTCAGATTTTAATTGTCATAAATTACAAGATGATCATTTTGTTTGGGAAACTGGTGATGAAAAATCTGATTTTCAGTTGAGTGCCTTGGTGCTCGTGAGGAGTTTGGGCCCAAAATAAATCCATGCACATCCACTGGCTCGCATATAAATGTACAAATAACAGCAGCACTAAAAACCAAGTATTTTCTTGCTCAAATGAGGGACAATTTAGTGCTGCAATGCTGCTTTTGAGTGCCTGTGGCTCAGCTGATATTAAAAAGCAAATTAATAACTTCATCTCGGGTATTTCCAGGTTTTTTTTCCCCTCAGTTTGGGCAGAGTGTGAATCTCCCTGATGGGCACAGAGAGTGTTCCTTGTCTGGCCTTAAATTCCCAAAGCAAGAAAAACAGGAGATGAAACCTTGGTGGAATTTTCAAGCTGTCCATTCCTCACCAGAGCTGATGTGTTAATGTCACTGTCACATCTTCTGTTCAAGGAGAAAAAACCCCGCTCCAAATTTAACCAATATTGAATTTCAATAAGAAAACCACTGTTTTCTCTGCTCTGTTTTCAAGGAGAAAAAACTGAGCTCTGAATTGGACAAACACTCAATTTCAAAAATAAACCCCTGTGTTCCTCTGCTTTATTTTCAAGGAGAAAAAAACTGAGGTCCAAATTTCACAGTTTCAAGGAAAAAAAACCACTTTTTTTCCTCTGCTTTATGTTCCAGGGTGCCCACAGCTTGAAGAATACCCACTTTAGACCCAGGTACGTGCTGTTGGTGCCAAAGGACAAGTGGAAATACGGGGTCCACCTGAGGAGGACAGGGTTGTTCAGCAGGCCGGAGATCGACGAGGCGGTGAGCAGGGTGGACATGTACCTGCAGGTCAGCCAGGACGTGCCCAGCTACTTCCATGCAGTCATCAACACTGGTGAGTTAATTGCTGATTTCCTTCGGGATAATTAGGGTTTGAGGGACGGCAGGTTGTGGAGGTTAGCTTCTTTTTTTGCCAGGGTGGGCATTAAATGTGGGAGATGGTATTTCTTGTCTGGGAGAATCCTTTCTGGAAAGAATCCCTCTGTAATTCATTCCTTTTGTAGAGGTGTTTTTTTGGTGTTCACCACATTAAATTACAGCACCGTGGTGTAAAATATTGTGAATTTGTAAATGTGGCACACGGAGCTTTCAATTTAAATATGGCCCTAAAGAAATAAAACAATAAGAAAATACTTAGGTGAGTGCAGAGAATTTTAGCTTTATTTTTCAATGTGCTGTTCGTGAAGATGAAGGTTTTTCACCCCAAGAGACATTAAAAATGTATTTCTGTGACAAACAATGTATTTCTGTATTTTCTGGCTAAGTTAAAAGCATATTTCTGTGTCAAATTCGTGAGATTTGTGTCTTTGCACTGATGAAAAGCTGGTTTTTATTCAGTTTCTTTTCTCTCTGCCACGAAATGCATTTCCCCCTGTGCAGATGAGCTGGATGAGGCATTCACAGAGCTTACTCACCTTGTCAAGGTCTACCTGGGCTTGGAGCCACCTGACATTTCGGACAGCTTTCAAGGCTTCAGGAGCAGGGCAGGTAAAGTGGTGTTATCAGCAGGACATTCCTATTTATCGGTAATTGATTTATTGAAATCTGTCAATGATGCAGCCTGCGAGACCTGGAACCTCCACGAGCTGCTCCTGATTCCTCCAGGAGCATGGGTTGGGGCTCTGAATGTTCTCCTGATCCTTTTTTGGGCTCAAATGGAGTTTCCTGACTGCTCTGATGGTTTTGGGTTCTGCATGGAGTTTCCTGACTCCTCTCAGGATGGTTTTGGGCTCTGGATGCTCTCCTGATCTTTTTTTGGGCTCTGGAGTTTCCTGACCATTCTGAGGATGGTTTTGGGCTCTGGATGTTTTCCTGACCTTTTTTGGGCTCTGGAATTTCCTGACTCCTCTGAGGATGGTTTTGGGCTCTAGATGGAGTTTCCTGGCTCTTTTTTGGGCTCAGATGGAGTTTTCTGACCATTCTGAGAATGGTTTGGGATTCTGGATGGAATTTCCTGACTGCTCTGAAGGTTTTGAGCTCAGATGGAGTTTCCAACTCTCTTGAGGATGATTTTGAGCTCAGATGGAGTTTCCAACTCTCCAGAGGATGATTTTGAGCTCAGATGGAGTTTCCAATTCTCCTGAGGATGTTTTTGGGCTCTGGATGTTTTCCTGACCTTTTCTGGGCTCTGGAATTTCCTGACTCCTCTGAGGATGGTTTTGGGCTCTGGATGGAGTTTCCTGGCCCTGTTTTGGGCCCAGATGGAGCTTCCTGACTCCTCTGAAGATTTTGGGCCCAGATGGAGTTTCCTGGCTCCCTGAGGGTGGCTTTGTGCTCAGATGGAGTTTTCTGACCATTCTGAGGATGGTTTGGGGTTCTGGATGGAATTTCCTGACTCCTCTGAGGATGGTTTTGGGCTCTAGATTCTCTTTCCTGGCTCTTTTTTGGGCTCAGATGGAGTTTTCTGACCATTCTGAGGATGGTTTGGGGTTCTGGATGGAATTTCCTGACTGCTCTGAAGGTTTTGAGCTCAGATGGAGTTTCCAACTCTCTTGAGGATGATTTTGAGCTCAGATGGAGTTTCCAACTCTCCAGAGGATGATTTTGAGCTCAGATGGAGTTTCCAATTCTCCTGAGGATGTTTTTGGGCTCTGGATGTTTTCCTGACCTTTTCTGGGCTCTGGAATTTCCTGACTCCTCTGAGGATGGTTTTGGGCTCTAGATGGAGTTTCCTGGCTCTGTTTTGGGCTCTAGATGGAGTTTCCTGACCCTGTTTCGGCCCAGACGGAGTTTCCTGACTCCCTGAGGATGGCTTTGGGCTCAGATGGAGTTTCCAATTCTCCTGAGGATGTTTTTGGGCTCTGGATGTTTTCCTGACCTTTTCTGGGCTCTGGAATTTCCTGACTCCCTGAGGGTGGCTTTGTGCTCAGATGGAGTTTTCTGACCATTATGAGGATGATTTTGGGTTCTGGGTGGAATTTCCTGACTGCTCTGAAGGTTTTGGGCTCAGATGGAGTTTCCAATTCTCCTGAGGATGTTTTTGGGCTCTGGATGTTTTCCTGACCTTTTCTGGGCTCTGGAATTTCCTGACTCCTCTGAGGATGGTTTTGGGCTCTGGATGGAGTTTCCTGGCCCTGTTTTGGGCCCAGATGGAGCTTCCTGACTCCTCTGAAGATTTTGGGCCCAGATGGAGTTTCCTGACTCCCTGAGGGTGGCTTTGTGCTCAGATGGAGTTTTCTGACCATTATGAGGATGATTTTGGGTTCTGGGTGGAATTTCCTGACTGCTCTGAAGGTTTTGAGCTCAGATGGAGTTTCCAACTCTCTTGAGGATGATTTTGAGCTCAGATGGAGTTTCCAACTCTCCAGAGGATGATTTTGAGCTCAGATGGAGTTTCCAATTCTCCTGAGGATGTTTTTGGGCTCTGGATGTTTTCCTGACCTTTTCTGGGCTCTGGAATTTCCTGACTCCCTGAGGATGGCTTTGGGCTCAGATGGAGTTTTCTGACTTCTCTGAGGATGGTTTGGGGCTCAGATGGAGTATCCAACTCTCTTGAAGATGATTTTGGGCTCTTGAGTTTTCCTGACTATTTTGGGCTCAGATGGAGTTTCCTGACCATTCTGAGGATGGTTTTGGGCTCAGATGGAGTTTCCAACTCTCTTGAGGATGATTTTGGGCTCTTGAGTTTTCCTGACTATTTTGGGCTCAGATGGAGTTTCCTGACCATTCTGAGGATGCCTTTGGGTTCTGGATCTCCCGTTCCTGATATTTCATGTAATTCCTGAGTGAATCCACAAGGATCATCCAGGCACAGACACCCCAAAATCCCACCCTGGGATCATTGTCCAAACCCTTCTGGACCCTATTTTGGGCCCAGATGGAGTTTCCTGACCATTCTGAGGATGCCTTTGGGTTCTGGATCTCCCGTTCCCGATATTTCATGTAATTCCTGAGTGGATCCACAAGGATCATCCAGGCACCCCAAAATCCCACCCTGGGATCATTGTCCAAACCCTTCTGGAGCAGCTTTGGGAGTGCCCAGCACCCTCTGGGGGAAGAAATTTTCCCAAAATTTAACCTAAAACTGGCACAGCTTCCATTGCTTCCTGTTCCTGTCACAGGGAGCAGAGGTTGGAGAGACCCCGAGGAGTCTCCCCTCACCTCCTCCTCTCCAGGCCAAGCAAACCAGACCCTCCTTATGTAAATTCCTGAATTTATTAAATCATGGAAATTCCTAAATTGGTACAGCCAAAACAAACCAAAAACAAATTCCAAGATTTATTAAATAAATTAAATTATGGAAATGCCTAAATTAACACAGCAAAAACAAACCAAAAACAAATTCCTAAATCTATTAAACTTATTAAATCATGTAAATTCCTAAATGAACGCAGCAAAAACAAACCAAAAATTAATTCCCAAATTTATTAAATTTATTAAATCATGTAAATTCCTAAATTAACGCAGCCAAAACAAAACAAATTCCTAAATTTATTAAACTTATTAAATCATGTAAATTCCAAAATTAACACAGCAAAAACAAGCCAAAAACAATTCCTAAATCTATTAAATTATGTGAATTCCTAAATTAACACAACAAAAACAAACCCCAAAAACTCCCCCAGACTTTGGGACAGATCAATTCCTTGATGCTGCAGCCACAGAATTGGCTCCAGGAGGGAAAGAGAGGGAGAAGAACTTTATTGAAATTAAAAAAAAAAATAAACAAAAAAGACATTATTTGGTTAAAAGAGGATGTGCAATATGAATTAAAAAGCAGCTCGTTTTTAGGACTTTTTCCCTCTGACTCCAGGAATTTCCATGGTTTATGGATTTGTTTCCATTTGAGATCCATTGGAGCAGGGAGGAGAATCAGTTCCCTCAGGAGCACAGAGCCAATATCCACAGCCCGTGTGGCTGGGGAAGGCTGCAAATAAAAGCAGCTGGAAAAAAAAAAAAAGGGCAAAATGTCTGGAAATTTTAATAAAGGACAGTAAAATATTCATCAGTTCATAATTTCATGTAATTTTGGATCGTGGAGGAATGAATAACATTAATTTCCCAGTGGACACAGGAAAAGCTTCTGTACACATTGTGGCTTCTCAGAGCTGCAGCAGTGAGGACTGGGCTGAAAAATCTTATTTAGCTTTAAATAAGGTAGATTTTACTTTAATTTCCAGAACTTCCACGTTCATCTGAAATGAAAAAGGTGATTTCCTTGCCTTGTTTGCTATAATATTGTATTTTCTTGCCTTAAAAACTCTGGGGACTTTTTGTCTCAAAGGCAAAAAACCCCAGCAAACCCTAGAGAGATTATTAGAAAAGGAGAAAAAAAGCCTGAGGATTAAAAATAAAAGATTTTTATATAATCCTGGTATTTTTGGAGATAGATATAAGTATCTGAAGCTCCTTTAAAGGGCTTTTTATTCCTCAACAGCTCTTCCAGACTTGTCACTACAGAAACTTCATTAACACTGCAAGATTTTGGCAATTCTGCTGCTCATAAAGTAACTTTTAAATTTACTACACACTATTAAATTCACTTAGAGCCCCATTTATAGGTGTTTAAATAAGTTTAACTCCTCTATTTCTAGAGATCCTCTCCTCTCGTGGACTGTAGGGAATAATTTATTTTCCAAACCTTGCCACAGGGTTGTCTTTAAAAAGGAGGTTTTTAGTGAGATTGGAGCAGGGGGAAGATTGCTTGTGGGAGATTATGAGAGGTTTATAATTCTTTTTTTTTTAATGAACTGCTGGGCAAAATCTTTTGCTGGTGTACAGAGTAAAAAAAAAAAAATAATAAAAAGAATTCCAGGGAGAAAAGAGATAAGTTTTTTTTAAAAACTTTTAATAGCAGGAGTAGAAGAATTTTTGGAGCTGATAATGCTTTGTACTTCCATTGGCAGCTTTTATCCATGGGATGCAGAGATTGGAAATTATTAAAATGCTGGAATGGTTTGGGTTGGGAGGGAATTTAAAGCCCATCCAGTTCCAACCCTGACACCTTCCACTATCCCAGGGTGCTCCAAGCTGGCCTCGGACACTTCCAAGGATGGAGAATCCATAACTTCCCTGGCACACCAGAGCCCTCAGAGGAAAGAATACCAAACAAAAATATTTATAAGGTTATTTCTATGGCTTCATTTCATATTTAGGTGTGATTTTATACACAGGATAAATCCCAGTTTACAGATTTTTTTAATAATTTGAATTATTCAAAATCATTTTGGTTTTAAAAACTGGTTTGAGTGGAGGGACCTTAAAGCCCACCCAGTGCCATGGGCAGGGACACCTTCCACTACCCCAGGTTTCTCCAGGCCTGTGGATACTAAATAATTTTTTTTTTGTATGGGAGGTATTTACAGAAGTGATATAAAACTTCCACTTACTGAAAAGCTTTATACACTTCTGTGAAAAAAACATGTTAAAGATGAAAAAAATCAAGAACAGTAAACTGAAATTTTAGGTTTTGTTTCTTTACGCTGTCATTAAGAAAGAAAAGGTTGTAGGGGGAGGAAAAGCATCCCAAAGGTTTTGTTTTGATTCTTATTTCTTTTTTTCCTTTTAGTTACTGCTAATAAATTTTTTTTATACCCTTTGAAACTTTTCACCCTGCTTTACCTTTCCTATTTCCTAGTCCTGCCTCCCAGCAGGAAATAGGTGAGTACATCCCAGTGAGTGCACTGGTGATTAGCCAGCACTGAGCCCACCACACTCATTAGCGCTAATTAACGGGGAAATCTCAAATTAGCCAACCAAAACTGTTGTGTATGAGACAGAGACAATACAAACAGCTCCATTTTCAGAAGGCTTCAAACAGTTTTTATTCCAGCCTGCATGCTTTTTGTACAGTCTTACAAAACTCATAAATTTACACTTTGGTCATGACTTATCAAACATGGATCCTCTTATCAAGCATGGATCCTCCTATCAAACATGGATCCTCTTCTCAAACATGAATCCTCCTGTCAAACATGGATCCTCCTATCAAACATGGATCCTCTTATCAAACCCGGACCCTCTTATCAAACATGGATCCTCTTCTCAAACTTCTGTCTGGCTCACAGAAGTCGCTGTGAAACCTCTTCCACACCAAACCACCACCAAACCCCAATCCAGCCTGGCCTTGGCCACTCCCGGGGATGGAAAATGAAGATGGAAATGTTCCTTCCTGCTAGTGTTGAGAATATTTTTGTTGAGGATTATCTTTCCCACCCCAGGTTCCAGACAACAGCGCTTCCCAGAGGAAAAGTCGTCCCCGGGCAGAGGAACTGCTGCGCACTCTCGGACTCCGTCCTACGGTGACCGCTCGGAGCGTTCCACCAAAACCTATCCCAGGGACATCCTGGACATGCTGACTGCGCCCCCAGGCTCTGTGGTAAGGAGCAGCTCCTGTCACCTTAGAAACCAGGAGTTGGAGCCAAACCTTTTTCAATTTTCAGGGGGAAAAAAAATGAATCTCTGTTCTCTGTCCCGTTCTGATTTCAATATTTCCCAGTTCTCCTGAATCGTGGAATGGTTTGGGTTGGAAGGGACCTTAAAGATCATCCAGTGCCACCCCTGCCATGGGCAGGGACACCTTCTGGAATTCCTGCTGTGCACATTCCCAAAAAAAAGGTGAAGGAGCTGAGATGGGAACTTTTGGAGCTGAGGGATTTGATGGAATAAATATTCCCAAGAACAGGACAATTTAAGGGGAGGAGACTCAGCCCTTCAAAAGCTCCTAAAAATATCTCGGGTTTATTTTGATTATTTTTAATTAATGTGATAGAACACAAAAAGTGGGAAATTAAAGCCAAAAACCACAAAAATCTTCCCAACAGAGGAAGGAACAACTCTTCCAGCAAAATTCCATGGGTGGGGGCATTTCCAGTGGAAGTGGGGCTGTACTTCTGGAATTCCTGCTGTGCACATTCCCAAAAAAAAAGGTGAAGGAGCTGAGCTGGGAACTTTTGGAGCTAAGGGATTTAGGACAGAAAGTGTCTGTCCCAGCAGGGCTCTGGGTTGGATCAGTTTGGGATTCAGGCACCAAAAAGGATTTCATTCTTCCCCATAAATACTCATCCCTGCCACGGCAATAAAAACAGTGGGGAGGAATCCAAATCCCAGGATCTGCTCCCTGGTTTCACCTCAGGACAGGACTGATCTCTGTTTGTGTCCTCAGCTTGGCTGTGCTGGAATCCTGGGATGGTTTGGATGGGAAGGGACTTTCAACTCCTGCAGTTCCACCTTCTGGACACTTCCCACCATCCCAGGCTGCTCCCAGCCCTGGCCTTGGACACTTCCAGGGATGGAGCAGCCACAGCTGCTCTGGGAATTCCACTCCAGGGCCTCCCCACCCCCAGAGGGAAGAATTCCTTCCCAATATTCCCTCCAACCCTTCCCTCTTTCAGCTGAAGGCCAATCCTCCTCCTGTCATTCCGTTCATTCCCTCGGGGTTGAGGCAGCAAAACTCAGAGAAGAGCACAAATTCTATTTTCTGCTCATTTTTACTCCAGAATAAACCCATTATTGATTCCACCCATTTGTGTTCTGGGCTAAGGAGCAGAATTTCCCCTCCCGGTCCTGCACAACGAGGTGGAATTGTGCTGTTTTGTGGGAATATCTGGGTGCAGTTGCCAGGAGCACGAGAATTCCTTACCAACACCCTCCCACAGCAGTGCAAAACTCACCCAGCCAAGCCCTTCCATCTCGTTCCAGTGACAACAGCCAGGCATCAAATTTAATCCCATTTTTCACCTGCTTTTCCTTTCTTTTAACCAACAAAACGCTCGGATTTCGAACAACCTCTGGAAACTCCAGCTTCATCCCTCTTTATTTTTTTTCCCTTTTCTCCCAGGACATTCCCTCTGTGGTCGCTGCTCCTTTTACAGGACAGCAACAAAAAGAGGAGAAGAAAAATGAAATCCCTGCATTTTTAATTTATAATTCATAATAATTCCTCTGGAATTAAAATCAGAGCTGGGAGTGGAGGAACAATTCCTGCCCTGCTTTTCCCAGGGTTTAAAAGTTGTGTGGAAGAAAGTTCTGGCTGAGGAATGGGTGATGCAAACGGGGAAACTCCCACCTTTCATTTTTCTGGAAGGAAATCCTTAATTTTGAGATTTCCCAAACTGCCAGGAGTGCTGCTCATTTTCATCCAAAGCTTCGTTGCTTTAAGGCGAGGGAGAAGCCAAAATATTTCCTTTGTCACCCTCCGCCATCACTCCTACCTCAACAATTTCTATTTTTTTTTTTCATTTTTATATTAAAAATTTACATTTTGTCAAGAGGTTTATGGTGGAGGGAGCCATCATTTACCTCAGGTTTAACTCACTGGTGGCCACAAAGCTCTTTATTTCTTATTATTCTCCTTTTCCAGGAACACCTTCGTATTTACTGTTATGAATATATATATTTATAAAAAACAAAGAAGTAATATATATAAATATATATTATATAGATATCTATATATAATAAATATATAAAATATATTATAATATTTATTTTATATAATGAATATTTATTATATTTATATATGTAAATATATGCAATAAATATTTATTATGTTTTTATATATATAAATATATATATAATCTATATCTTGTTATTTACTACTCTGAATTTTCATTCTATTTTTCTACACATTTAAACATTCAAGGTGAAACCCACTTGCCTCTTACACAAAATTAAATGGGAAAAAAATAGAAATATTTCTGCAGCCTTAAAGGCAATTTTTTCAGCTCTTACATTTGGGATTTGAAATTATTTTGGCACCCCAATAATGTCCTGTCACCACACTCCCTTCGCCCCATGGAGAACTGAAATAAAAAATAAGAAGAGATCCATGTGAGTTTTCCATGATCAAAATGAGAATCTGATTCCTTGCAGCTCCTCCCCTGTGCTCAGACCAGCCCTGCCCTCATTTGCTCTTAATTGTAAATTAAAATTAATTATAAAAAGTAAGAACAGAAAGGTTCTGTACCTGTAATCCACCCAGGACTTTAAAAAATGGTCAGAATTTTATATTTAACAGAATAAAATGAAATTAAAACCAAGCTCAGGGGGCGTCTGAGCAGAGTCAAATTATTTACCTGGGATAAATAATGAAGTAATTCACAATTGTCGTGTGAATATTTTATTTCTATTTATTTTATTGATATTTACGTGACTATTTTATTTCTATTTATTTTATTTCTCTTTCTTGAGCAGTTTAACCGTGCTCTGTCTCAGCCTGTGACATTAAATTATTGATCAACTGATAATTGATATCAGCTGATACCAAAGCAGGATTTAATAAGATTCCTCTGGAATTTACAATTTTTTCAGCTCACCCTGTTGCTGACCTGACAAATTAGACTGTAATTAATGGTAATTAGTGGTAATTAACACACCCTTCAAACCCCACATTTCCCGCTCTGCTGAGAGCTCATTGTGAAAAATTTCATTGCCATTCACTCAAATTTGCTCCAGGAAATTCCTTTTTTCATGGAATTAAGGTTACGAAGACCTCCCAGATCGTGGTCCCCACTCAAAATCGTCATTTTTTCACATTTTTTCACCTTTTTTTTCCCTTTTTTCCAACACTTCCAGCCTTGCTGACTCCACCACTGCCCCGGGCAGCTCTTCCCATGCATGACAGAATTTTCCATGGGGGAATTTCTCCCTAAAAAAAATTCCTCCTCTCAGGGAATTGTGGAAATTTTTTGACTCCTGTGAACAAATTAACCTTCACCAGAGATTAAAACCTTCATCATTCCAAGCCAAAACAAAAAAATTTATTTATTATTTATGCAAATCAGGCACTTTATTAACCCCAACCCAACCCTGCTGTTTTCCCAGGATATTGAAATGCAACACCTCTGGAATTTTAGCAGGAGAAGGGAGGACCCAAAACGTTGAACTCACCACGAATAATTTTAAAATCCTGTTTAAAACTGGTCATTTTTTGGTTTTTTCCCTTTCCCAGGAAGAAGCCTCTCTCCAAAGACGTTTCTCTGCAGCACGTTGGATGATTCATTTCCACAGGTAACCTGCAAAAATTCAATATTCAAATGGAATCATTTAATATTTCATTTTTATTCCAATCATTTCGTTCCAATTACATTGCGATAATTCCAATTTACTTCCTTGCCATCAACTCCAAAACATCTTTTTAGGGTTTCTCCCCCAGTTTTTTCAGTTCTTTCCCCACTTTTTGGGCTCTTTCCCCACTTTTTAGGGTTTCTTCCTCATTTTTAGGGTTCTTTCCTCACTTTTTTTCGGGTTCCTTCCCCACTTTTGAGGGTTTCTCCCCCACTTTTGAGGGTTTCTCCCCCACTTTTTAGGGTTTTTCCCCCAGTTTTTAGGGTTCCTTCCCCATATTTTAGGGTTCCTTCCCCACTTTTAGGGTTCCTTTCCCCCTTTTTAGGTTTTCTTCTCCACTTTTTAGGGTTCCTTCCCCACTTTTTAGGGTTCTTTCTCTAGTTTTAGGGTTCTCTCCCCCCTTTTTAGGGTTTCTTCCCAACTTTCAGAGTCTCTTTCTGACTTTTAGGATTTCTTCCCCCCTTTTAAGGTTCTTTCCCTACTTTTTTTGGGTTTTTTCTCCACTTCTAGTGTTCCTCCCCCACTTTTATGGTTTCTTTCTCTCGCTTTAGGGTTCTCTCCCCCCTTTTTAGGGTTCTTTCTCTAGTTTTAGGGTTCTCTCCCCCCTTTTTAGGGTTCTTTCTCTAGTTTTAGGGTTCTCTCCCCCCTTTTTAGGGTTCTTTCTCTAGTTTTAGGGTTCTCTCCCCCCTTTTTAGGGTTCTTTCTCTAGTTTTAGGGTTCTCTCCCCCCTTTTTAGGGTTCTTTCTCTAGTTTTAGGGTTCTCTCCCCCCTTTTTAGGGTTCTTTCTCTAGTTTTAGGGTTCTCTCCCCCCTTTTTAGGGTTCTTTCTCTAGTTTTAGGGTTCTCTCCCCCCTTTTTAGGGTTCTTTCTCTAGTTTTAGGGTTCTCTCCCCCCTTTTTAGGGTTCCTTCCCCACTTTTAGAGTCTCTTCCCCACTTTTAGGATTTCTTCCCCACTTTTAAGGTTATTTCCCTACTTTTTTTTGGTTTTTTCTCCACTTCTAGTGTTCCTTCCCCACTTTTATGGTTTCTTTCTCTAGCTTTAGGGTTCTCTCCCCCCTTTTTAGGGTTCCTTCCCCACATTTTAAGGTTCCTTCCCCAGTTTTAGTGTTTCTATCTGACTTGTATGGTTTCCTCCCCATTTTTAGGGCTCCTTCCCCACATTTTACAGTTTCTTCCCACTTTTAGGGTCTATTCTCCACTTTTAGGGTTCCTTCCCCACTTTTTTGCATTCTTTCCCCACTTTTTAGGGTTCCTTCTCCACTTTTAGGGTTTCTTCCCCACTTTTTAGGGTTCTTTGCCCACTTTTTAGTGCTCCTTCCCCACTTTTAGATTTCTTTCTCCACATTTTATGGTTTCTTTCCCACGTTTTAGGGTTCTCTCCCCACTTTTAGGATTTCTTCCCCACTCTTTAGGGTTCTTTCCTCACTTTTTATTATTTATTCC